CTACACTAGAACAAGGAGCAATATACCGGAATGAGGAGATCCTGGGATCGAACCCTGTGTCGCTTATAGGGAGACCTAGCTCTCGCGATTTTTGTGCTCTGTCATTACTGGAAAATTAAACCAACTCCATGTTTTTAGAGAAAAAAATATAGAGCTCTTTCATACAACATTTTTAAAAGACGAGGGCGGCAACGCCATTAACGATCTAGTAGTACATCATAAATGGATTGAGGCATAGGATCTTCAAACATGTATTTTCTTTAGCAAAGTGGGTAAGATCGTGCCCTTTTTATAGTTGTTTAAATTTGATTACGACACACAATCAACCATACCAAGTATTTCCCTCCTCCCCATCCCTGAGTGAGTCCCAAGCTAGAGTTTCTCAGTCTCCCGTCAGCGATGTTGTTGATCTGCCTTGTCTTGTGTGGTCTTAGGGCCATGAAGGCGCGGGTGTATCCCGACCCTTGCCGGTGGGATGGCTCATGCTATGTGCTTAGGTTATTTAGGGTTTGTATCCTTCTCCGAAAGATGAGGCGGCGGCGGCTTCCTGAAGATGGAATAACGTTCTTCCTGCCTAGCCCCCTCTCGGTGCTACGTATAGCGTCCTTGGAGAGTGTGTGGAGGTGCGTCCCCAGCGGATCTTGTGGGATTCGGTCGGTATTTGTCTTCGGTGGATCTATTTAGATTCGGCCTTCATTTGTGTGTGTTCGTGTGCCTTCAGGTCGGATCCTTCTGATATACACTTTTCATAGACGACGGTTGTTGTTCCGGTGTGCTGGTCGTTTAGGGTCTTACCATGGTGATTTCCCGACTGTCTACTACAATAAGGTTTGCCCGACTCTGGTGAGGGAGTGGCAATGACGGCAGCGCGCCTTCGGCTCGCTCCAGTGCTTGGAGTCATCGCCAGGTGGTCTATTCTTGCGTTCTTTGTACATGATGTTTTATAGAAATTGGAATTTTTCTTGCAACAAAAAATGACACGTAATCCTAGAAATTATTTTTTAGTCTTTTTTTAGAATCAATTTTAGTCTAATCCCACAAATTAATAATGACCAACAATGATATTAATTCTCCTTGAATAAGACCCAAGTTGTCCCAGTGGGCCGCCCTTGCCCATTCCCCCTCTCTAGTAACCGAAGAACTTAAAAACCGCAGCGACTATTTGTCGCTTTAAGTGACGCGAGAGGGCAACTTTCGCTGAAGGTTTTCCTCCACCTACGTCGTATTGGGCCGGCCCACTCGCCAGCACGTATAGATTAAAAATTCAAGAGATGAAATGGGTGAACAATGATTCGATCCCTGGCCTGCAAGCAGTTCGATTGGTGCTTCTACTTGAGGCTTTTTCGAGCCTTTTTTCTGTTTTTCCTTTTATTTCTTTTATTTTTTATTCTTTCTTGCATTTTGTTTCTTCATCTTTGGTTTTTTGCCTTTTGTTTCTTCTCCATTTTTTCTTTGGTTTTTTGTTTTCTTCTCCATGTTTTGTTTTTCTTTTGTTTTTTCTTATGTTTGTTTTCGTTTTCACTCTACATTTTCGTATGTTTCATAAACATTTTTTAGTAAGTGATCAACATTTTTTGTGTACACGTTCAACATTGTCCAAACTCTTATTCAATATTTTTCAAATAATTATTCAACATTTTTTAAAATACTTGTTCAAAATTTTAGTACTTATTCAACATTTTTCAAATACTTGTTCCACATTTTTCAAATACTTATTCAACATTTTGAATACTTAGTCAACATGTCAAATACTTGTTCAACATTTTTCCAATACTCGTTCAACAATTTTTAGTACTTATTAAACATTTGTCAAATACTTGTTAAACATTTTTAACTCTTATTCAAAAATTTCCAAAACTTGTTGAACACATTTCAAATACCTATTTAACATTTTTTTAATGCTTATTCAACATTTTTCAGATATTTTTAAACATTTCTAATATGTGTTTTTGAAGAGTGTTTTTTGCATATATATGTAGAACTTTTTAAAGTATAAAGAAAGGTACAAAAATAAAGGAAAAAAACAAGAACAGAAAAAAGGAAAGAAAAAGGCTGCGGCCTCCTGCGCGGCTGGGCCGGCCCATCTGGGCTCCCCACAGCACGAGGCTTTGCCCCTGTGCTCGCTTAAAGCGAGACATAGGGGCGCCCCTAAAATACCCCAAACTCTCACCGCCGATCCCAATCCCTACCTCACCGCCGATGTGAGCCACGCCGGAGATTCCCAAGCCGCGGGCGCTTCCTGCCGCCGAATCGATTCCCTCGCAGGCGAGGCCACTAGGAGGACCTCTGGAGTAAGCTGTAAGCCCTAGCTCCTCTACCATTTCTAGTCAGGGCTCAGGGGTTAATTTAGTTGGTTGGGCGGATCGACGATGTACCTGCCCAACGTTGTCTCCTCCAGTAGATCCGTGCTTGGAGACGGAAATTTTACCTGCTGTAGACCACAAATGCTTAGGAATATGTGCCTCCGATGAGCACCGGCGTAAGTTTCGCCGTGCCCTGAAAACAAATATCATCTCTTTTGCAGATTTCCACTTAATTTGCCTAACCAAATTACTAGTATTCCTTTTCTTTTGGTAGATTTACTACACCTGAGAAATCATGTTTAGGGATATGTACTTGGTTCAGATGTACACCTATCACGGTTTCAGCATGGCACCCCTCTTTTTCAAATTGCTCTTTACCTGACCAACATTTGTTTTTTTTTAGTTCATCTACACTTGCTAACAGAGTCTTGATCTGATGTAAAGTAAAATATTCAGTGATATACTTGGCTTCTGATGGAATGCGCAGGCATTGTTTCAGTTTCAGTCTGTAATTGAATAAGATGGTAGTTCTTTTTCTCTACATATTTTACTTGACAGAATGCCCTCCTCTGCTTTTTCTTCTATACACAAAACGAACACGTACTGTGTGCTGTAACTGATCATTAACACTGGGACATTGCAAATTAGAATTGGGAAAATGATTACTTCAAAATTGGTATACTCATGCTGCTTCTGTGGCGTTTCTAGTTTGAGGAAAAGGAATCAAAGGGTTATCTTTTGTGTCATAGTCGTACATCTCATTATCTAGAAAAATAGTGCTTAGTATACTGTCTAATCTTAGTTTGCAGACTTGCAGTTATGACTTACGATGAAAAGTAAATAGTGCTAGTGTGCTGTCTACTGCAGCTGTTAATAACAAGTGCAAGAAGCATAAATGTGTAGTGCAAGGCTAGTATTGCGATGTAGTATCACTAGTTCATTTTTGTGTGATGGATTTATGGTTCCCCTGCATCTTCATATTTTGATAATAGCCTGAACTTCTTCAGCTTTCTTATAAAATTGAGCTGATGACCTTTGGTCTTAGAATGGTACAAGAAACATATGTATTGCTAGTTGCAGTTCTTACTCTGTTTAACTATGAATGTCTTCGCTTGTAGACTTGTATGATGGAGGCTGCAATGTATCGCCATTGGTCAGATCTTCAGCCGGAACTCCTGGGCCTTGTTCTCAAGCACCTGCCCTCCCTGTCTGACCGTGTTCGTCTAAGAGCAGTCTGTCGCACCTGGCGCTCTAATAGTATGTTGCAGCCCCTTCCTCTGCCATTCCCGTGGCTCACCCTCCCAGACGGTACTTTCCTCAGCATTCCAGGCAGTGAAATTCACCGCATACCTGTACCAGAAGGTGCTTGTTGCCAAGGCTCCATTGACAACTGGCTATTCCTCATTGACAATGGTAATGTGTGCTCATTGATGAATCCTTTCTCCAAGACTGCATTAGAGCTTCCTAATCTAGTGGCTGTTTGGGAGCGTGAGATACGTTACCACTCTGACCGTAAACCAATTTTCTATAAGTTGGTGGTGCCCTCTCCCCTGGACTCATCACCTCATTCCCCTGTCGTTGCACTAATCATGGACGATGGTTGTTTCCATACACTCTGTATTAGCCAGCCACCGATCGCCACTGCCTCGCTCAGAGATAATAAGGATCCACGACTGTTCCTCAGTGATGTTGTATTCTTCAACGGGAAGTTGTACGCATGGGGTCGCTTCGGCCAGCTATTCATCGTTGATTTGGATAATGACCGTACCATTTCATCCATCAGCTGCATAATTGACTCTTTGGGTGACATAGGTGGAACACCTCAAGATTTGTCCATAGCAGAGGAGTACATGGTAAAACCGTATCTCATTGAATGTGGGGGTAAACTGTTGCTGGTGGCAAGATGGTTTCGCTGCACGCCACGTTCGACAAGCTACGATGTCTTTGAACAAGCGTACTGCCGTGTTTCAGGTCTTTGAGGCAGACCTGCACACCAGCCCCGGTCGATGGAGAAAGGCCACTGAGTTGGGTGGCCATGCGCTCTTTCTTGGCCAACATGGCTCCAAGTGCCTGCCTGCTGTGGAATGCAGTGGATACCATGAGGATTGCATCTACTTCATGTGTGACTATGTCTGGCCGACCTCTTCTGCGAATCCTCTTTGCGACTCTGGTGTGTACAGCATGAGGGATGGCACAATCACGCCATTGATGTCAGAGGCAGCAGCAGCACCGCTGCAGCGTGTTGGACAGTGGCGGCCCACATGGTTCTTCCCTCCTCAAGCTGTGTGATCAATCCATCAGGTTTTGTTCTGTTGTTTTGGAGATTCTCAGCACATATATGCCTCCCTTGTTCTGCTGAAGCCCTGTCATCCCACCCAGCCTGGGTGCTTCTCATGACTTTTACCATAGCAATCTGCTACTGTGTTATCTTTATTACCATGATTGTGTACACATCAAAAGTCTTGTGGATGATCTTATATGGGATGTGTATTTGAATGCGCAGTCTTCATGATAGCAACTTGTGAGTTTGTGTCATGTACTTGAACAAACTTTTTCTTTTTGCCCTGAAGCTGAAACAAACTTGGGAGGCCCATTAGCCCTGAATCAGGATCACTGTGATACCAAGTTTTGCTCTGAACTATGATCATCCTGCAACTGAGATAAATAAATCAGGATCGTGCACACAAGTGGTCAAATTGTCTGCTTAAGAAGTGATGGTTCAGTTTTGGTCTCAGATAAGATAAATTATAATGTTACAAATAATTCCATACAGATGTATTAAATATTATCTTCAACTTTCTGATCATAATATTTCTTTTATAAATTTTATGAGTGAAGAGATTGTGAAGTTTGACTGCATACATTTTGGGAGAACATTTTTGATTAGACGAAATATAGCTGCGTGTTTTTCTAGGGGTGCAAACCAGTTGAGTTTGGCCGAGCTTGTTGTATAAAACGAGGGAGTCCAATTTGACTCGAGCTGCAGAGTATGTTTATACCCAGCTTTTAAAATCGCGAGACGCTTTAGCTAGAAAAAAAAAACTTAAACATCTCAATAGTGTTGACAATGTGATTGCCTAAAAATTTGGAGATTACTAGATGATACCCCGCGCATTGCTGCGGGAATTTGTAGCATCGTATAGGAGAAGGATTTAGTAAGTGAGTAAATTGTAAACCGTGAAAAAAAATCCTTCAAAGAGTTATGAGAGGCTTCAAATTTTTAATTGATAAAGAAGGTTAGCTTGTCGGTTTCAAAATGTTTTCATAGTACCAAAGTAGTGAACTTTTTGTCAGATTATCAACGAAGATTGAACCAATGAATGATGATGCATATGACAATTCTTAGTTGAATATGCTGGAACAGACAGACCTATTATGAAGATTAAAAAGGTGAATTAGCTATTTTTACTTGAACACGCTGAAAGAGATAGCCTTATATGGAGAACAAAAGGGTTATCTAAGGTGACTGAGTGAAATTCTGAAGACGTACATTTCACAGAACTGAAAATGTGTCGCATCAACTAACCTCGTCCATTCTTATCTGACAAATACAATGGTTCTTTTCAGGAGAATACATAATAGTACATCCAATAGGGACTACTAAATATTGAACTGGTTCGAAGCACCATAACTAAGAAAAACACATGTTAAATGTTGCAGATCTTCACAAACTGAGGAAAAAAGTTAGACTGAAAAATACCAGTTCTTGACTTCTTGTGTAATCTCTACTTGGATCGTGAACCATATACTACATCCTAAGATCAATTTAGGCGGATTCAATATTCGCTGGGCATAAAGACCAATCATGATATAGCAATATATTGATTCTACATAATAAGAATCAGTTTGCGCTAGCCCCATCGGACATAATCTATTAAAAAATGTAGTAGCACATACGTGATACTTTCATTCAACTATGTGTGTTGGTGATTCCTGTCTATAAAGAATCCAATCTCATCATAAGAATTCATATGACCGAACAAAAGGAAATCATTGATATGCTCCAGCGCCATATGACATGAAAGCATCAGTCGAAAATGTGGAGAACATGTCAGGAAATTTATTTGGATCCATCTGCAGCAATGGCCTTCCTGCAAATGGCACATGACGAAGAGTAAAATTTCACGAAAATCTAGTTATGTAGATCTACATCCAACCTGACTGAGAAAATGGAGATGGCAGATCAAGATGAGCGACATGACTGGCTCAGGTATCATTCATCGTCTAGTTTGAGTTAGATAAACATATGCGTGCGGCAGCCTATAATCTGTTGCAAAAAAAATAATCAAGTGTTCTTCATTGTTGTATCCAATTGATTGCAGATTGAAAGACACTTACCACTTCTTCCAATTAAATCAAACACCATGAATCTGGTACATCAACAAATTGAACGGGTAGGAAGCAAGAGTCAATAAGAATCCCAAATTATGCAAGATGGTTGAACACCTAATAAAGATGAAGGTGTACATGTAGAGTGATTCGGATTTGCCGATCAGGTGGCTGCGTGGTGGCACCGTGGCGGCGGCGAGGGCTCCAGTTTTGTCCGCCCAACACACTTGGTGCCTGAAGGAGAAGGGGATGAGCCATGGTAGAGGCTTGAACTCACGTTCAGGAAGACGTACCATAGAGTTTTTCAGATTCCCAAGCAGGCGTCCTGTAGGTGCGGTGGTGGCAGCCAGGTCTCCAATTTTTCCCATCTAGACACTGGACGGAGATGAGCATCGACGAAGGAGGCTTCAACTCGGTTTGACTTCCCAGAGCAAACATTAACAAATCTGGATAGGAGTTTGGACACCCAGCTATTGATAGTACTGATGCAAATAGAGAAGATCGGGAGGGAGAAGAAAATCTACCAGATTCGTCTAGAAAATAGCATGGGAGACGATGGATGAATTAAACTTGTGTACCGCGGCCTGATGGGATTGCTTGCCGCCGCTGCCGGCTTCTTTTGCCCCAGATGGTTCGTGGCTGTCTGTGCGAGGAGGGGCCGTACCAGGGCAACGCCTGCGCACAGGCTTCCTCAGTTGCGCGGGATGGCCGCATCAGGCGCGTCCGGAGCGTCCGGCGTGAGAGGCCCGGAGCAGAGCGTCCGACTGGAATCGGGGCCGCGACGGCGATGGCCGCGTCTGGTGCATCTGAGGACGCCATCTGGCGAGGAAGGACCGGAACAGAGCAGCTCGTCCGAGGCCGCCGGCGGAAGGAGGGCCCGGAGCAGAACAACGGCGCGCGCACAGACTGATTTGGCTGCACCGGGATTGCGGCATCGATCACTCCTTCCACGGGAAAAAGGTTGATGGGAATCCAACGCGAGCGCCATAGCTAAGAGCTCGAACGTGCTTACAATCAGGAAGGGCCTTGGTGCGGTGCGGGAGGAAGTGCCTTGGTGCGATGTACTATGTATAGTGCGAAGGTATTGGAGGGACGGGGAGATTGTAAAACGGAGGGGTGGATGATTGCTCACATCCCCCATCCGTTTCATGTGCGTTTGTGGTGGGGAGACCGGGAGTGGCAGAAGAATAGGAGAAGATGAGCAGTCGGGGAAATTAAGGCCTGGAGACATGCGCAGTTGGCGGGTGGCTGGGAAAAAACTGACGGCAGACGTGGCACTGTGATAGGTGGATATGCTTTACTGAATGATGACGTGGCATAAAGCCGATGTGGACAGTGTGCATGTTGAGAAAATTGGTAATAGTGGGGATCAACTTCTTAAGAATGTTAGATTTGTGTTTCCATGTTAAACACTAAAAAGTCTAATTTATGTTAATAGGTGATGATTTTTTATTCCAAGCATAGGATGTAAAAATATTGTAAATTTTGTTCTATTTATTACTCCATATAATAACATGATAAAATGGTACCCTAAAAAGACTAATTTTTTCAGCTGGGCCGTATCGATGGAGGATTGAGGTCCCTTTTTCAGCTGGGCCGTGAGGCTTCGTTGGACTGGGTGGGCCAGTATAATTCGGCCAGGCTTCGGTACACGGAGTCACGGACGACTTTAGTCAGGAAAGATTGTCTCAAAAAAAAGTCAGGAAAGATCGATCGATCATGCTTGCCTTGAAATAAAGAGGAGTTTTAAAAAAGAAGAGAAAGACTAAAAGAAAGCCTAAAAAGGGAATGATCGATCCCGCGTGGCGATTGTGGGAAGAGCTTGACGAAAAGAAGTTGCACAGGGCCGTGATAGGAGAAATTATTTATGCAAAAACGTCTTAAGAGAGATTATTTATGCACAATCATTTTGTTATTGTGAATAAATACAAAAATGTCCATCCAATCCAAGTTAATCGCAGCTGTACTAGAGTTGTGTCAAAAAAATTTATTAGAGGGAGTAGTTCTTCTCTACATGTGAGCATCATTATTCTTGTGAATCAACCTATGGTTGGATGGTTAAAGGGACTGTGGTATTCCCAGTCCATCAGGGTTCAAATCCTAGTGCTCGCATTTATTCCTGGATTTATTTCAGGATTTCCGGCGATGCGCATTCAGTGAGAGGAGACGTTCCCGTCGACGATGAGGCGCCTATGGTGATTTCATAAATCTCAAGATACACTCACATGGTTTTAACACACATCTAACCATCAACATGTTTTAAAATTTGAACTTTTGAGTTTTATTCGTTTAATAACGAGAAAATTCTGATTTTTATAGGCTTTGAACTTCACCATTTTTAAATTTGCACTTCTTAATTTTTGGTTAGTAACGGGAAAATTCTATTTTTGATAAACATCGGACCACTTCGTTATTTTAATTTAAACTTCTAGTTTTTTGAAATAGGGAAAATCATTTATATATTATTTGAACTTCACCTTTTTCGTTTATGAGTTTTATAAAAATGCAAAAAATGGAGTTGTGTTTTTTATTTTTTGAATAGGTAAATCCTAGGTTTTGATAAACTCTGAACTTCTTTCTTATTTTAATTTGAACTTCCTCTTTTTTATTTTAGAGTAAAGTATTGTTTTTTATTTTCAAATAAACATCA